CTCCTCTTCCTCCTCCTCCTCCTCCTCCTCCTCCGCCTCCGCCTCCGCCTCCGCCTCCGCCTCCGCCTCCGCCTCCGCCTCCTCCGCCTCCTCATCCTCCTCCTCCGCCTCCGCCTCCTCCTCTTCTTCGTATGTGTCGTATTCGTATTCTTCTTATTATGCGTAGTATTCTTCTTCTTCTTATTATTATTATTATTAGTATTATCAGTATTATTATTAGTATTATTATTATTATCATTATTATTATTTTCATTACTATTATTATTATTAATATTATTATTAGTAGTAGTAGTATTATTATTAGTATTATTAGTATTATTATTATTATTATTATTATTAATTTTATTATTATTACTAGTATTCCTCTTCTTCCTTTTCTTCCTCCTCCTCCTCCTCCTCCTCCTCCTCCTCCTCCTCACTCCTCCTCCTCCTACGCCCCCCTCTCCTCCTCCTCCTCCCTCCTCCTCACTCCTCCTCCTCCCCCCTCCTCCGCTCCTCCTCCTCCTCCTTCCCTCCTCCTCCTCCCCTCCTCCTCCTCCTCCTCCTCCTCCTCCTCCTCCTCCACTCCCTCCTCCGCCTCCCTTCCTCCTCCTCTCTCCTCCTCCGCCTCCTCCTCCTCTTCCTCCTCCTCCTCCTCCTCCTCCCTCCTCCTCCTCCTCCCCCTCCCTCTCCTCCTCCTCCTCCTCCCCTCTTCCTCCTCCTCCTCCTCCTCCTCCTTCTCCTCCTCCTCCTCCTCCTCTTCCTCCTCGTCATTTTGTTTATTCCTCTCCTCTTTTCTCTCCTCTCCCAGGTGTTCCCCAAGGGGTTCCACAACGGTTGAGGAGCGCAAAATCCCATAGCTTCGCCAGACTTCGGCCCAACGTTTGGCCGCAGGGGCGTTTCCAAAAGGCAGGGGGCGACGGTGATTCGCCTTAGGCGCCTTCGATTTTGTTTGCGCTGTTCGTGCGCCGTCTGGCGCAAGCCTCACGTTCGTTCGTTGGCGGCCCCAGGAGACCCGATGGGGAGGTCTGGGGGAAGTTCCAGGAGGGGAGGGGGCAATGTTATGACGGCTGGTGCCCCTAGTATGGGACGCTGGCCATCCCCAGCGTAGAGTAGCGACTCAATGCTGCCGCCTTCTTCACGATCAGACCAGTCAACGTTGTCGTGTTCGGCGTTTGGACATTGGGCGGAAGGGGGGTAGGGGGGGGGCAGGGGTCCGGCTCCTGACCTCTGCTTAGCGCGACTACTTGCAACAGCGCGTCCGATGGGGGAGACCCCACCTGCTCAAGACAGACGCCAAAAACAGCTAAGATCCACACCATGGGAGGGGAGGACGGGGGGGTGCGCCGATCGGCATCGCCTGTGTACTTATATGAAACCACGATCAAACTTCGAGACACATCGCGACCGATCTATGCCTTTACCCCCCGGCCGTGTCCTCCTGCTCGACGGTGCAGGTCTTGGAGTTGGTGGACCCCTGGCTGAGCTGCTTGACGACAAGGACGCTCTTGTAGCCCCAGCTCTCCAGGAGGTCGAGGATCCCCTGCACCGGGGTGCCAGCGCGCTCCAGCCACTCTGGGATCAGCTCCCCCTCCTCCTCCTCCTCCTCCTCCTCCTCCTCCTCCTCCTCCTCCTCCTCCTCCTCCTCCTCCTCCTCCTCCCCCTCCCCCTCCCCCTCCCCCTCCCCCTCCTTTAGCCAAGGAGGGAATGACCCTCGAGGCCCTCGATGTCGACCTTCGCCATCAGGATTGCCCTCATCGCCGGGTTACCGTGGAGAATGCGGTCGCCAGTGGTGAGATTCACGCTGAACTCACTCACTTCGACCTTCCTCGCGAGCCTCTGGGGGGACAAACATGCACCGACACCGCCTCTCAACGGACCCTCTCCTGGAGAACGTTCTGACCAGGATTCCGCGGCGAGTCCAGCCGATGCGACGATGACATTGCACGAAATGGTAGCTACCGGTATCGGTGTTGTGCCCTCCTCTGGGCCTCAGGCTCTTGCCCGGATGGAACAGGTCCTGCAGCTGATCGCCTTCCATCTCGGTGAACGGCTTGTTGCCCTTCCCTGCGCCCTTGTTCACAGGGCTGAGAGACACGGCAGGAAGAACAAACAACTGCATACGCAGATGGGGAAACCAAGAGGTACCGACACCGCTGCTCCTCGGACCTCTCCTGGGGTGCGTTCTGACCAGAATCTCGAGGCGAATCCCGCGGCGGCGACGGGGGCCGCCCAGGAGGCCCAGAAAAGGGAAAACGAGGGAAGGGTGGAGGCATGGGTACTCCAGATTTCGTAATAAAAGGGAGGGGGTCTGGACCCTGCAAGACAAGCCATCTCAGACCTTCCCCGTGGGAGAACCCTCCAAGACATCGTCCCCAGACCCCCAGGCCCTCCAAGATAGCCTGTAAGAGACCCCCCCCGAAATGAGACCCCCCTCCCTTTATTTCGAAATCTGGAGTACCTTTTCCTCCTCTGTGCATAGGCTTGGGCGAATTCTTGAATCGGCGCTGGGCCCCGCTTCCCGGGCGCGCGGGTCTCGCCGCGGACGGCGCCGCGGCGCCGCCAAGGGGGGGTCCGCGCCGGCCGAGGAGATCCGAGCGGACCTCCGTCTGTAAAGGGGCCCTGGGACACACAAACAAATACACACAAATCCCAGGACTCCCCACACTTTCCTACATTTCCTGGGTGTTCGTTTCCCCCCCATTTGTCCACTTGTTCCCACCTTGTCCTGGGAATCGACGATTGATTGTGTCTGTGCGTGTTTCCCCTATCCAGACCTTATGCAGTTGCTCTTCTTCGAATGATCACGTGCTCTGGAGCGGTGGGCCCGCCCACCGCGTAGGTGTACACCTCCACGTTCCTCAACTTGTTGACGAGGGCACCGACCACGAGGAGATCAGCGGTAGGCGGCGTTCTCTCCACGGCGATGTCCCTGCCCGAGCTCCCCCCTTGAGCCCGCGCATGGGCCAGGCAATCAGCCATCGGAGTGATGAAGGTGCCGATGCTCGGGGAACAAAGGCCGGCTCAAGAGTGACAACCTTCGGATGCCCGTGCGACTTTCTGAGGCCGGCGCTGGACCCAATGAACCCGCGCGGGCCTCCGAAAGTTACTGCTCATGCTGCGCTTTGCCCTTCGAGATGTTCGCGCCAACGTCGAGAAAGTGGCCCACGCCGCCGCCCACGCCCCGGAGGGTGCTGCAGAGAGGCTCCTGGTGCGCTCGGTCTCCCAGCCCTCCCCGGCGAGGAGGTGGCCGGACGCCGTCTGGTCCGACCAGCGGTCGAAAGCGGCAGCGGTCAAGTTGTGGCCGCCCACGAGGCTTCTGACGCTGGAGCAAACGAGGTCGCTGGCCTGCGCCGACGCCCGGTCCCCAGACAGACGCCGACGTGCTTCCCCGACGTGCGCCGCCCCAGGAGGTCTCCGCCACCTCCCGGGGGGCATCCGTCTATGACGGCTCCGGGGCCCGAGCGCCGAGGCCAGGAGAGAGAGACAGAGAGGGAGAGAGAGAACAAAGAAAAACTCGGACAAGGATAGAACTCGGGGATCGCTGAGACCCGGCAGTTCTGAATGCATCGGGCGCCGCGGCCTCCTCGAAGCGCTCCAGGACACCCTGAGAGCGCCCCGGAACGCTCTGGAACGATACATCCGTAGCCCCCCGACGTCATGATTGGAGAGAGCGTGATCCACCGCCGCTTTACTGTGGAAAATTCCCCCCCCCTCTTCCTCCGAAACCCGGGGTCCCCCCCCTTCCTCCCGGCAACCCCCCCTCCCATTACACCCCCCCTCAGGAAAACTGGGGGGGGTCACTACCGGTTCGAAGTACCCCCCCCGGGGGGGGGTCACTACCGGTTCGAACCCCCCGCCCACATTCCAAAAAACCGAGGGTGGTCACTACCGGTTCGAACCCCCCTCCCACACGCACCGCTGGCAAAAGACTCCCCGGTCCTCACCACCGTCCGCACCACATCCCCCAGCGCTGTCCCCAGCACCACTGTCCCCACCACCACTGTCCCCACTGTTCCAACCACCGTCCCCACTGTCCCCACCAGTGCCCCAACCACTGTCGCATTGTCCCCACGGCCCCCACCACTGTTCCAACCACGGTCCCAGTCTGCCCACTTTCCCCACGGTCCCCACCACTGTCCCCAGTCCCCACTGTCCCCACTGTCCCACTGTCCATCTGTCCCCGCCGCTGTCCCACGGACCTGTCCCACTGTCCCCACCACTGTCCCCACTGTCCAGACCAGTGTCCCCACTGCACCTCTGTCGCAATTCCCCCCGTCTTCGCCACCGGCCTCACCACTGTCCCCACCAGTGTCCCACTGTCCCCACCACATTCCCACTGTCCACACACCACTGTCCCCACCACGACCGTCCCCACCACTGTCCCAGTCTCCACTACTATCCCACTGTTTCCACTGTTCCCTCCATTGTTCCGGTTGTTCCCACCAGTGCCCACACCAGCGTCTCACTGTCCCCACCCTCCCCACCATTGTCCCACCACGGTCCCACTCTCCCCACTTTCCCCACGGCCCCCACCACTGTCCCACTGCCCCCACTGTTCCCGCAACTGTCCCACCGTCCCCACTGTCACCACCGCTGTCCAACTGTGTTGTCCCACTGCCCCCCGTGTCCCCACCACTGTCCCACTGTGCACACCAGTCCCCACCGTACTACTGTCCCACCACCGTCCTCACCACTGTCCCACTGTCCCCACCACTGTCCCGCAGTCCCCTCACCACTGTCCCCACCAACACCATCCCCACCACTGTCCCAATATCCCACCACTGTTCAACTGTCCCGAAGAGCGGGAATCGTTTGCCGGCGGCGGGAGGGGGGGTTCGAACCGGTAGTGACCCCCTCCGGTGTCCGAAGGGGGGGTTCAAACCGTTAGTGAACCCCCCCTTCTTCATGATGGACTGGGGGGGGGGATGGGGGGGCGTTCGAACCCGTAGTGAACCCCCTCTGGTTTTCGCCGGGGGGGGGCATGGTGGACGGGTTGGGAACCCCCCGTGACCCCGCCCCGGTTTCCCGCCAGCAGCGGTAGAACACACTCTTTCCATGATTTTCCCATGGCGTCGACTCCCAGAAGTCTCGACCCATTCCCCAAGAACGGCGCTGCGTCCCGAATCGTTTCTTCAAAGCCCCGAGGCCCAGTGAGGGCCCGAGGGGCCGTCAACGGCGAAGAAACCCCCCGTCGTGACGTCGTCATGGGTCGAGGGGCCCGGGCCCCAATTTAGCCCCCCCCCCCCGCGCCCCGCCCCACGGTGCCCGGTCCCCGGGGCCGAGAGCCACGGGAGAAGCACTGGATCGAACGGAGCAAGTCATCAGAGTCTGGGCCCACGGGCCCGACGGGCGGCCCGAACCGGAGGAGGGAGGGGGGGAGGGAGGAGGAGGAGGAGGAGGAGGAGGAGGAGGACGAGGAGGAAGAGGAGGAGGAGGAGGAGGAGGAGGAGGAGGGGGAGGACGACGACGACGACGACAACGATGAGGACGGGGAGGGGGGCGGGGAGGGGAGAAATACGAGGAGCATGGGGACGAAGACGACGACGAACGACCACGACCACGACGAAGACGACGACGACGACGGCGGCGACGGCGACGACGACGACGGCAACAACGACGGCGACAGCAATGGTGACGGCGACGACAGCGACGACGACGAAGACGAAGGCGACGACGACGACGACAACGGCTGTGGCGCCGGCGGTGGCGGCGGCGAACAGGGTTGCGACGACGACGGCGACGACGGCGGCGGCGACGGCGACGACGAGGACCACCGCCACCACGACGGCACCCAAGGCGACGACGAGCACACCGACGTCGCCCACACTGGCTGGACATCCAGATGCGTGCGGGGCCACGCCCGATCTATGCTCGCCGTTTGGGCTGGCGGTGGGGCCCAAGCGGCGAGCTGTCTTGTGATTCGCAGCGGGCGCCTCCGCCTCGCGTCGGGCCACGGGACCCTGACAGGCCGATGTGGCTCGAAAAGTGATGCGGAAGGGTGGGGTCTAGGGCTCTCGTCGTGATCTGTCGGGACGTTGAAGAGGATTCGGGTGGGTGGCAGTGGGGCGTGACCTGACTGGGGGATGAAGGCACGGGCCCCACAGGGGGCCTGTGTTTCACCCCACACCCAGGTCACCCACCGTTGCCACCCGCCCGAACGACCACACCGTCGGAGCTCTGGGATTTGCTGACCGGGTCAGTCCAGCTCCGGGCCAGTCCAGGCTCTGCAGGATCCTGCACGTAGAGGGCGGCGACCCCTGCGCCAGAGCCCGGGTCAAATGGACCCTGGCTCTGGCAGGATCCTGCAGGATCCGCGGCTCTGAACACGCCCGTGAACCACCGCTTCTACTCGAGCCCCGAGCCTCTCTGGGTGCCACGCGTCGGGATGATGATGATGATGATGGCTGATGATGATGATGATGATGATGATTGATGTGATGATGATGATGAGATGATGATGATGATCATGATAATGATGATGATAATGATGATGATGATGATGATGATATGATGATGATGATGATGATGATGATGATGATGAAAATGATGATGATGATGATGATGATGATGATGATGATGATGATGAGGATGATGAGGATGAGAGGAGGAGGAGGAGGAGGAGGAGGAGGAGGAGGAGCGAGGAGCGAGGAGCGAGGAGCGAGGAGGAGGAGGAGGAGGAGGAGCCCCGAGGAGATCTGGGGCGGGCCTTCCCGGCGCGGAGCCCGCGGGACAGGCAGCGCGCCAGGTCCGCGGGCACCGGGTCGGGCGGCGGCGAGCGCGCCTCCTCTGGCCGGCCCAGGGGCAGCAGCTCCTGCAGAGGCCTCCCAGCTGGGGTCCGAGTACACGTCGTTCATTTCCAATCGTGCTCATTTCTAATTGTGCTCGTTTCTAATTGTTCCAGGCCCCCTGGTGGCCAGGAAGAGGCCCAGAATAGAACACTTAGAAATGGAAGGATCCTGGCTTCCAAAAAATCAGGGAACCTTCGGAGAATTAAATGAACAATGTGTAGAGTCAACACTGATGGTGAGGATGCGCGATGAGGATGCAAGGGCCTTGAAAGGCCATGTCGAGGCTCTCCGAGCGGGGCTGGCCATGACGCGAGGTCAAGGATGCGACAGAGGAGGCAGGGATGCGAGGACACTCTCCTTGGGAAGGTCACCAGCCCTTACTATCGGCTTCGCCTGTAGACGGGGTCGGGGGATCGCGCCGCGTCGCCGCCATCGGCGAGGAGAAGTTATGGCTCCACATCGAGCCGCATCGGCGATGCATTGGCAATGCATCGCCGATGCGGCGCGATCCTCCGACCCCATCTGCTCGGACCCCGTCTGGGAGGCTTAGATCCTGGCACGGCAGCCACAAACCCCCTTAGACAACTGACGTCATGTTGCACCTTCGGGGGATCTTGTCTATCCCGCCGCGCCCCTATCCGCGCCGCATCCGTGTCGAATCCATGTCGGACTCCTCGAAGCCCCGTCGAACCCGCGTCGAATGCGTGTCGAAACTGCGCCGAAAATCCACGCCGACAATCTGCGTTTGAGTCCGCATGGAGCCCGAGTCTGGCGCAAGAGAAAAGACACCAATTTTTGGGGGGGCAGGCGAGGTCCCCCGAAGATGCAGCGCTGACCGACGATGTGGTTGTCTCAGCCGCGGCGCGTTTCGTTGAATTCTCAGGGGGGCGTAAGACCCGGGTACAGGGGACTCGGACATCCCCGACGAGGTCGTCAAAAAAATGACGAGGCCGAGCCTGCATTTTGACGAGGCCTCCCGCTGCAGACATCCCACGAAACTCCTACTCGTCAAAATCCGTGGCGCGGTCGTCAAAAAGCGATGGTGAACCCGAGTCCTGGCAAACCCGGGCCTTACGCTCCCCGGAAATTCGCGCTCTGGGCGCCGTGTTCGGGCTCCTGGGGCATCTGAAGCTGGATCTGGGGCGAAGCACCGGGGTCGGGACCTCTGGGACCGCGGATGGAACAAGACGCGCCTTCGGATGCACGGGCATGTACACTGGCACGCGCCAGTCAGCTCCGTCTGTTACTCCAGGCGGTGGGGGAGGGGGGGTAGAGCTCTGAATCGCTGGCTCTCGGGTGGTGATCCTGACACTGGAAGCAGGGATCTCTTCATATCCACCGCTCGGGACGCCGAAGTCCCCGAAGATCGATTACCCCGGCGGTGGCTCTGGATCATTCCCCGCCTGCGAAAACACCGCCTCCGCTTTTTCTTCCTGGAAGAAAAAACGACACAAACATCGGCTTGTTCGATGTCCGTGCGGATTTCTGGGATCTGCGCTAGGCACCCCCCCCTGGCGCGCGGAGCGCGCCAGGGGCGGCGCCAGAGGCGCCGCCAGAGGGGGGGGGGGCCAGCGAAGATCCGAGAGATCCTCGCGGACCGTCGAAAGATTGTCTATGCAGTCCTCCTTCGAGAGTATGGATACATCCCCGCATCGGAGTGCAACGCTAGCCTTAGGTCGGGCATGTCCCCCTACGGGCCGATGTTGGAAGAAACATACGACAGAGTCAAAAATGACTCTCAAAAATAGCCCGGCATACCCGAAGACACGACCCCGGACTATGCTTGGACGATGTTCGAGAGATCGTCCCCGGAAGATGTTGTCTGTCTCACTGTGCCTGGCTCCTCCTCCTGCAGAGGGGCGTGCCCACCCTCAGCGCCAGGGAGGCCAGGGATCTCCTGACCCGGGTCAAGACCCGGGTCAGCCAGGGCTTGCAGCATCTGCAGAATCCTGCAAAACCCTGCACCTAAACCCGGGTCGATGCGAAGGCTCCTGCAAGATCCTGCGGGACCCTGAACCCCAACCCGGGTCAATGCGACCCTGGCCCTGCAGGATCCTGCAAGATCTGGCGCTCTGGCTGACCCCCGTTTGCACTGACCCCCGTCTCGAGGCTCCCGAGGAGGCCCAGGCGGCACTCCGCCCGGGGCGTGCCCGAGCGGGGCCCCCTCCTGCCGCGAACGAGGAGGCCCCGCGGCGCGGCGCCGCGGCGCCGCCGCCCCGCGAGCGCGGCGCCCGGGGCCCGGAGGGCGCCGCCGTCGGCGAGGCACGCGTCGCTCATTGCGAATCGTGCTCGCTTCCGATTGTGCTCGTTTCGAATTGTTCCTGGCCCTCCTCCTCCTCCTCCTCCTCCTCCCCATCCTCCTCCTCCTCCTCCTCCTCCTCCTCCCCGTCCCCCTCCCCCTCCCCTTGGTGGCCAGGAAGAGACCCCAGGGTAGAACGATTCGAAATGCAAGGATCTTGGCCCCCCCAAAAAATAGCAGAGAGCCTTCGAGGGAGGATGCGCGGAAGGTGCCTGCCCTCGAGCGCCGCGCCAGCACCCGATCGCCAGCGGCGGGACAGTCTCACTCTGGGCGCCTCTTGCTGGCAGTCCGGCCTCCGGGGCCCCTTTTTGCATTCGGGCCCTGGGCGATCGGAGCACGCATCCTTGGCGACAAGCTGGGGGGCCGGGGGCACGGACTGGCAGGAGACGGTCCGTCGGGGCCCAGCACGGTGCACACCCCAAGAGAACCCCGGCTCCGCCACCCACGAGCCATGCGCCGTCCAGCGCGTGGGCCGGAAAACCAGCTCCGGCAATCGCATTCGGGACGTGTGCCCTACGATGTTGCCTTCTGTTATACGATTTTGCTTCAACGTTGGTGAACGTTTCCCGTCGTCGCTGGCGTCGTCGTGATCGCCGCTGCCGCCGCCGCCATCGTCGCCGCCGAACACAATACGGGCCTGCTGGCGCCGCAGAATGCACAACTCCGACCGACGGGTCTGGGCCCTGGGGCCGACGGGCAACGTGCCGGCGACCTCCCTGCCGAGGCCAGGGCAAGTCTGCACGCCACCCCTGGGTGCCTGGGGCACGGTCGACCCGTACCGTACGGATGCGCCATGAGGATGCAAGGGCCTCGAAGGGCCACTTCGAAGCTTCTCGAGCGGGGCGCGGCCAACGAAAGTGGCCAAGGATGGGCCGAGGAGGCATGGGTGCTCCTCCTCCTCCTCCTCCTCCTCCTCCTCCTCCTCCTCCTGCTCCTCCTCCTCCTCCTCCTCCTCCACCCTGCAGGGGTGCCCTTGGAGAGGCTGCCTGTCCCTACCCTGCGGGTCGACTGCGTGGCCCCTGGACCGGGCACGGCGGTGCGGCGTGCGGGCGGCCTCTGCGGCAGGGAGGGGTGCTATATGCTGCAGTCTGGGGTTTGGACGCCCTTCCTCCTCCTCCTCCTCCTCCTCCTCCTCCTCGTCCGTTCCTCCTCCTCCTCCTCGTCCTCGTCCCTTCCTCCTCCTCCTCCTCCTCCGTCCTCCTCCTCCTCCTCCTCGTCCGTTCCTCCTCCTCCTCCTCGTCCTCGTCCCTTCCTCCTCCTCCTCCTCCTCCGTCCTCCTCCTCCTCCGTGCAGCTGAAAAAATGGGTACAATGCCCAACAGCAAGTGTTGTCACGAACCAACAGCGGCCGCTGCTGAGCAGGCGGCCTCCCGTCTCAAATGGACACCGGCCGCGGCGGCGTGGACAGCGAGTCCTGTTCAGAACGAACAGGAACTGCTGTTGGGCATCGTACCCATTCTTTCCGTACCCATTTCGGGCGTCCAGATGGGGGGGGGGGGCAGGACGGAGGCTCGAGCCGACGCGGGCGGGTCGCCGGGAGGAGCGGCGGCGGGCGGCATACCAGGAGCACGGGCAAAGAGCGAGGAGAGGAGCAGCGGCCGCGGCGCCCTCCTCCCCCGACAGAAACCGCACAAGTTCGGAGGGCAGCCGAGCGGGCTCCACTCCTCTCGCACAGCAACTAACTCGCAAACGGCCTGCCTCCGCCGCGGGCGATCTACGATACATTTACGCCGAGGCAGACAGGTGTTTTTGTGTCGGACGCCTGCGGGCAGGCACTTGGCGAGCAGTGGAGCGCGCTCGATGGGAGGGGCCAGCCTCGGGGGGGATCCCGACGCAGCTGCGTGCCGCGATCGTGCCTCCGATGCGCCCGCCCTCTCTCTCTCCCTCTCTCTCTCGGCGGCCGTGGTTCCTCCCCGTGGCCCACGGCGTCGCCCCTGCCGTGCGATGCAGGGTGGGCGGCGGCGCCATCCCAACCCCCCTCTCCCTCCTCCATCCTCCCTCCTCCTTCCTCCACTTCCGTCATACCCCACCCCTCCCCCCGCCACCCCCGCCCCGATCTCCCCCTATCACTGCCCCCATCCCACCTCCTCATGCTCGCCCTATCCCGTCCCTCGTCCCTTCCCTCCCTCCTTCCCTCCCCATGCTCCCTCACTCCCTCCCCCCACGCTCCAACCCTCCCTCCTCCATGCTTCTGCTTCCGACCCCCATCACCTCCCACCCATCCCTCGGTCATCTTTCCCTCCTTGCCATGTATATTCATCCACAGCATCATCCCCCGCATCATCACCAGCATCAGCAAGCACCAACACCACCATCATCATCGTCATCTCCACCATCAGCATCATCATCAGCATCATCAGCATCATCATGAACATCATCAGTTTCATCATCCTCGACATCACCACAACGATCACCATCACCACAACCAGCATCATCATCACCACCGTAATCACCATTCTCGTCATCTCCACCAACACCACCATTACCACCACCATCACAACAATCGTCGATCTCGCCGACTTTCATCATCATCATCATCATCATCATCATCAGCAGCAGCAGCATCCGCAACATCATTATCATCATCATGACCGCCATCATCAACATCATCAGCATCAGCAGCATCATCATCAACATCATCATCATCATCATCCTCATCCCTGTCCCCATCTTCAGCATCATCATCAGCAACAGCAACATCATCATAATCATCACCGGCATCATCACAAGCATCATCACCATCAGCAGTATCATCTTCATCAGCAAAGTCATGAGCATCCTCGTCATCATCAACACCATGATCAGCATTATCATCATCGTCGTCCTCATCATCATCATCCTCATCATCATCATCATCATCATCATCATCATCATCATCATCATCATCATCAGCATCAGCATCAGCATCAGCATCAGCATCAGCATCAGCATCAGCAGCCGCCACCACCACCATCACCACCAGCATCATCAGCATCATCATTACCATCATCATAAACAGCCGTATCAACAGCACGAGCATCATCAGCCTCATCCACAGCAGCATCCACAGCATCCGCAGCACTGGCATCGCCAACACGATCGCCACCATCGTCGAGCCTCAACGCCAACATTCGGGGATCTTCTGACCCCGGTCAATCCAGACCCGGGTCAGCAGGAAACCAAAAACTGCAACGCAGGGACAAAAAAAAACTGCAACGCAGGTCTTCGCAAACCCGGGCCAGCCAACAGGCGCGGCCGCCCTCGCGGCCACGAGCGGCCCGGGCCAGCCAGAGTCGGCGGTGGACAAACCTCCCCTTAGTGAGAACGGCCTGGGACCGAAACCGACGGACCCGGACCCGCAAAAATGACGGCCGCGAGGCCCTCTTGCGAACCGAAAACGGCCCATTCCTTAATCGACGTGTCAGGGTAGGAGGTCTGTCCACCCCCGACAGAGGGGGTCTTCGCAGGATCCTGCAGGATCCGGTGCCCTGGCTGACCCCCGTTTGCAGTGACACCCGTCTCGAGGCTCCCGACCAAGAAATCCACGCGAATCTCCGGGCTACAATTCATGTTGCTCACATCGTCCTAAATTCTTCCCAGTAATCCGCTGGCCCCCTTGTGGGGCCACCAGGCTGTAGGCGCGTGATTCGCAGTTTCCTGTACCAGTTGTAGTTTCTAGTTTCCAGTGTTACAGTTCTGCTTCTTGCTGGTTACTGTAACTAGTTGACTTCTTGCTGGTTACTGTAACTAGTTGATTGACCGCGCGAGGGGGGGGGGAGGCCCAAACAGGATTTTTAGCGTCCCCTGGGCGCGTTGTCTGAATTGCTGGGGGGGCTCGAAATCGACACCCCTCACGCAGATCCGCGGGGTCAGGGTCCAAAAACACATGGGATTTGCCACATTTCTGAAATTCGGTGCCACCCCTCACGCAGATCCGCGGGGTCAGGGTCCAAAAACACATGGGATTTGCCACATTTCTGAAATTCGGTGCCACCCCTCACGCAGATCCGCGGGGTCAGGGTCCAAAAACACATGGGATTTGCCACATTTCTGAAATTCGGTGCCACCCCTCACGCAGATCCGCGGGGTCAGGGTCCAAAAACACAGGGATTTGCTACATTTCTGAAATTCGGTGCCACCCCTCACGCAGATCGCGGGGTCAGGGTCCAAAAACACACGGGATTTGCTACATTTCTGAAATTCGGTGCCACCCCTCACGCAGATCCGCGGGGTCAGGGTCCAAAAACACAGGGGATTTGCCACATTTCTGAAATTCGGTGCCACCCCTCACGCAGATCCGCGGGGTCAGGGTCCAAAAACACAGGGGATTTGCCACATTTCTGAAATTCGGTGCCACCCCTCACGCAGATCCGCGGGGTCAGGGTCCAAAAACACAGGGGATTTGCCACATTTCTGAAATTCGAACCCATCACGCACATCCATCGCAAGGCGTGGTAACCCAAACTGCGAGAACTCCCTCGGCCCTTTCATCGCAAGGTGTGGTAACCAAGCCCTTAAACCATACACGTCTTACCAATCGCCAGGTGTGGTAACCCCTCTTGTGATCAGTTGGTTTTGCTGATTGCGACTCGGCTTCGCATGAAGTTTCGATACTGCTTC